AAGAATACAGTGACAGAGAAGCTACCACATGGGATTATCTCGGGTCGAGCGTTCTTGATATTAAAGTTATTAACGCATGCTTACCAGATGAAGTAACTGATGAACATCAAGAAGATGATAGAGCAATGGCTTGGAAACGTCTAAGGCCATCCGCTGTCTGTACAGTTGGCAAATCAATGTGTATTGGAGCTTTGATCTCGGTTCTTGCTGCTATAGTAATGGGTACACTATACACGCTAATCTGTTACGCGCGATTTAAGAGTTTATATTTGAGCTGCCATCATTCACATAACTCAACCTCAGTTCAAATGCAATGGAAAATAACAATTTCTGGTGTGACTGGCTGTGGTTTCTATTATATCTGGCCCTTTACTTTTCTTCTTTTACTTTTCCGTCCATTTCAGTTAATTGGGATCAAAAGGACCCTATTTCTAGTTTGTTTTCTTTGCTACTGTTTGGATGCACTTTATCGCGTTGCTTGCAGAGCTTTAACTTTATCTCATGTGAGTATTTCCAGCTTCTTAACCTGGTTTCCCCTCAACGCCATGTTGATCATTAGCATCTGCTTGGAAATGTACGTGGTGGCCAATCATTTCTGCCCACTTTCAAGGACCAAAAGCAAACTGACCTTGTTCTTTCAAATGATTGTACCCGTCTTTCTTACGTTCTTCATTGGACAGATTGGTCAGTACTTTATATATCCAGCATATGCTGACCCGAAGAATAACAACCAAGACAAACTCTTAATTGCACTCTTTTTTCCTCTGATTGTCACCATCTTGAAGGTAATCGCACGAGTTTGTGTTCAGAGGTTATACAATATTTCCCATCCGGGATATTCTTATGTTTTACTTGGGCCTTTGTTTTACGGATTAGCTGTCATCTCCCGAGCTTTGCAAGCCGATCTGGACACTCTAGAATACATTGCTATTTTGGGAATCATTCACGGCGCTGCGGAAGTTATAGAACGAAGTACGATGGTTTTCATAGATCACATTTGTCATGTGTTGTGGAAAAGAAAATCAGCTCCTTGGGGAAGTTTCCGTACCCCTCGCCGTGAGAGACTCATGGCTGATATTGCTATCATGAGTATGTTGTCTGAATCGACTGCTATAGTGTCTGTGAACGGGTTTATTTACTTGCACAAGTTTCTTTGCCTGAAAGATAATTCCGTTTTCGAGGTACTACAGTTATTTGCCAAGTGCACTTCAGTTCAGCTAGTGATTGAATGGTTTTTCACTAGCGTTTCTTTAGCAATCGAGACTCGTTATCAGAATTTGGCAGTCATGGCTGTTTTGCGAAGACGATGGAAAAGACATATATTAGTGGCGATAGTAAATGTAATTCCCCTGGCTGTTTATACCAGCGAAGATCTTTTGCGACTTGTAAGTGGTCAGTTTTAAGAATCTTTGATGTCATCTATTTTTTCCAGTTTTTCATGTGGAATAAGACGACTTATTAGGTAATAGATGCGTAAAGAATCGTAAGTGAAATGTTCGCACAAAAAAAATATATTGGCTAGATCTCAGTTCCGGGCGCTCAAAACGTCTCCGGTTCCGAGTTTCAGGAATAGAAAGCATTTCTTAATTATCAGTTTTATGTTCATTACCATGCCAATCAAGTTGGAGTGATGATACTGAGCAGGGATTATGCTTAGTTTTTTTTGGCATTGCTTTTTGAATCATTTGTAAATCAATGTTAGCATTTCTCATACTGTCATACATGACAAAGTTGACTCACAAAACTGGAACCAATTTTTAAAGGAAGAATTTTCATTTTCTATGAAAACCAAAACACGCGACTACAATATCCCTTTTATTAACTTGGGTAAACCCTATTTGTCGTTAGCTGGCGTATATCGGAGCATACCTCGGCGTTAGTAGATCGGAATTAGATTTTCCAGTTTTGTGAATTAACGCAAAGTTTCATCATGTTGAGGCGTAACAGGTTAGTACTGAAACGGTCTGTAAGCAATTTGAAATACACGTGTATAAAAACCTTTCAATTTTAACTTAACAGTAAATAAATAGTAGAACACACTGACCACACGTTTCACTGACGTTTATTGGTGGCTGTACTACTCTAATTACTACTATCAGTTTAGTAACATTTTCAATTTTCTTTTAGTTCAGATCCTTGTAGTAATATGAATGTGCAGTAGGAAACCTAAATGGCCTATGTCATTCTATTGATATTGGCCATCTTTTAAAAAAAAATAGATGAAATGTGTCTTCGCATCAATTGAGTTTTAAAGATAGAGGTCCACTTTCGGTTATTTAAGACTATATTTAGGCGGTGAAATTGTCCTGTCGTCTGTTGCAACGGATAGCAATAGTCTGCGTGGCAGGCGTTAGAAAGGGAAGGGGAAGGGAAACGAGGGCGCAAGACCGCGCGCGAGGGAGGAGGGAGGAGAGGTTCCTTTCCTTTCACCCTCGCGCGCTCTCGCGCGCCCAAATTCCCCCTTTCCCTTTTAACGCCTGCCACACAGGCTAGAGGGCAATTAAGTGCCATGCCTGCAAAAATCACCCAAAAAGTGTTATGGTTATTGCCCACTGATGAAATTTGTCTCATATCGTCTTTATAACTCCGATCTACAGGCGCATTTTGTCTATGAGGAAATGAAAAGGTACTGAGTATGACTTCAGCGCAGCCTTGACCTAAAAACAGCAATATCTTGGTCACATAGCCTCCTTAAAATAATAAGAATTAGGTAAAATATTTATAGCGAGAACGATACGTGGAAGTCAATTTCTAACCAATGAGATAATGTAACCTTGTAAGCTAAGTTTTCACATGTTTTTAGTTTTGTTACTTGGTTTAATTACATATTTGGCGTATGGGGCTAAATATATTTCGCGCCAACATAGATTTGGCACAAGAGAAACCCGTTTTGTCGATCACCTTAATGGAATAACTAAACTTTCCATCATATTGCGGAGTGAAAGGTTACGACTGAAACGGTCCGTAATTTTATTAAGACAATTATACCGTGGAAGCTCTCGTAAGCGGACACCCTCGGGAAACGAAAAAAATGTCCGTAATTGGAGTTGTCGGCAGCTTACGAGAGTGTCCGTCAGGAAAGCTTCCACTGAATTTGTAAATTCTAAGCATAAATACCTTTCAATTGTTAATTTACATTAACTACAGCCACCCACATAATCTTTCGTTGACAACAATTTATTGATCTTTTTTTTTCCTAATTAACTTGAAGACGAGCATATAAGTTGGGATTGAGTGACCAAACACTGACTCGCCTCCAAGATTTTTCTGTGTTTTTTCCTAGAGGATAAAACATCAGCACCTGACGTTTTCAGTAGCTGTTTGCTCATCCCTTGTGCACATTTTGAGACAAGTTTAGTGATGGTCAGTTGCTATGGTTACGAGATATGACGTCATAAATAGCAGGTGGTCAAGCCATTTTGGGGTGAAAATGCATGTTTTTTCAACTTCTTTCAACAATTTAAGTAAATGTTGTGGCTAAAAACATGCAAAGTGCTTATTCATAGGTTATTTTTCATGTAAAGCACAAAAAATTGCCATTTCTCGTGGTTTAAACCTGATTTCTAATTCTTGGTGAAATCCAAGATGGCAGCCAAGATGGCGACCATTCCTGGTGACGTCACAGGCCTCCAGCAGCGCCACCACCCGTAAAATATACCTTATCTTAAGAATTTCCACTCGAGATAAAATCGTTTGGAGATACTGTAACATATCAAAAACTCCGGGGAGGGATTCCATCCAACCCCCCCACCCCCCATGTACTACGGTGGGGGTATGAGTTTGCGTGTACGTCCGAGTATTAATCAACTGAACAAGCTTTTTAGCAATGAAAACTGTATTAAGCTGACATCCACTAAGGTTTGTTTCTACAAAAAAAATATGGGAAGAGCAGTTCGGGTTTACTAGGCTTAAAAAAGTACCGACATTTCGCGACGCCACCACTTGGTTCCCAGCGAAATGATGTCTGAGGGACAAGCTCAGAAATACCATGAGAGAGAACCTGAGAACGAGGTTAAAATACCATACTGATGATCTGGGTAGTGCTTCTGATTAGTTTTGCGGCGAGGAAACTTTCTTTAACCTAACAGAAGCACTACTCAGATCTTGGTGGTGAGAAATCATCATCAGAATGGAATTTCTGCGCTCGTTCCCCCGTAATTCTACCATACTACAGATAAATACAGTAAAATCATTTCAAAAAAAACGAGCCACGCTCACCACAAATTGATTTTAACCTCCTTGCGTTTTCACGCCCGATACAAATTTCTGTTTCCTCAGAGATCCTCTATAGGAGAGACTCGCTTGGGCCACGTGACCCGAAACGCATTGGCAGCTTTGACTAATGATCCGGTAGGGACAAGGCAAATTGGAATCTTCGCGTAAAAACGGCTGCGTTGGAGACTATTCTTGAAGTTGTAGAATTCTGGTTCATGTCTGTATTGGCTGATCTGTGTTTCTGCATGCGTAATAAGCAGTTAATTTACACGCGAGGTAGTTATGAAATTTTTGACAGTTTTCTTAAATTGATGTTCATGTGTTCACAGCCATTTTATCCCTTCAAGGATCTTTCAATCTTGCGAATACAGAGAAGTTATCGTGAAATATTTACTGCTCATTATGATTGCAAGAATGGAGAATTGAGTTTTATTCCACTAAAGTAGCGCTTACTCGAGACTACTACTTATGTATTTTTTAAATAATCAACTGGGAAACGCTTGAAATGACTACTGATATGACTGCAAGGAGCGCAAACAGCCATATGTATTTTGACGTGGTAAAATACGCATAAACGACGGAAGCCGGTGATGAATTTTTCCGCGCGGCGAGCGTTTAAATCTTTGTGTATGCGGATAGTTGTCATAGCCCTTTTGCATGTCATAGTTTATCTGTGGAAGCCACCTCAAAAGTCATGGCAATTTAACTTTGCAAGAAAAATTAATGAGGTATTGAATGGAGGTAATTTTGTACAACAAGACGACAGCTCACGACAAAGTAGGACCATGAAATTTTACATCGCATTTCGATATTGGGAACGGCTTTCAATGGCGACTAACAATCTGATCGCCCTCACAGCTTTAGCAAGCTACAGTGGGCTCCAAGTTGTTGTACCTTTTGTAAATGATTCACAGTTTTTTGGTTATAAAATGAGCAGTGATGACACTCAAACACTGGCATTGTACAGTACTACAATCTGAGCGCATTTAGGAACACGCTTCGTTCACATGGATACAGCACTTTAGTGAACTGGGAAACATTTCAGAGTGTTTGCCAAGACAAGTTGGACTTACTGATACGATTTAGTTATGGTAAAGAAGCTTTCCGCCGACAACAAACCACGGAAATTCAAAGTCTCCAAACTAGACGTGGCTTCAATATATCGAAAACTGTTGGCGTGGATTCCGGAATGCTTCGATCGATTGATTCTTTTGTCGACAAAGTGGTCAAAGGAAGTAAGTGCGTTGGAATCGAAGAGTGGAGAGGAAACAAGGAGGTCTCATATTGAGCTTTCTTTCCACTTCCAATAGATATCCATTATTCCCTTTTACCGCACCATGTAGCATTTTTCAATGAGAAACTTTTGGAAATTGTTGATGACTTTATAAATAAGACTCTAGGTTCAAACTACATTTCCCATCACATTCGCGCGGAACAGATTTTGAAACAGTTCAAATGGTAATTTTACCACTTTGGTCAATTGTATCAAGAAACAGGCATCACTGATAAAGAACATTCGAGCGCGTCATCCTAATTACAATAAACTTTTTGTTGCTGTAGATTTCACAACGTTTGGTTTGCAGTCTACAGATGTCTCAGAAGCAAGTAGAAAAGCCTCTTAACTCTTAAAGCATTTAAATGAACTGTTCGACAATATGGTCTTTTTACAGCCGCATTTCTATAATATTAAAGACAAAGGAGCCGTAGCCATTGTTGAAATGGCCCTTCTTATTTCAGGGAAACAGCTATTCTTAACCGGAGGGGGAAGTTTTGAATATACCATAAGAGCACTGTTTATCAAAAGAAGCCCATTCAGTTTTGATAAAGTGCATGAGGTGTGTACGTGGTAGATCAAATCGATTTCAGGTTAAATCAGTAGTCAACCAAATTTATTCAATCTAGCTTGATTCAGAATTTCCTTTGTACCGGGCTGGCTCTAATTATTAATAGGGGGAAAAGTATATAGCCTGCTCCAGGCGTTCAGGTGGTGGGGAGCGAGTTAGATCGTACGCGGTGAACCCAAAAGGAGCAAGAGGGGAAAAAATGCTCAATTTTTCCCTCATCAATTTTTTTGGTGCCCGCGCCCTGCTCATGATCTGACCGCCAGGAACAGGCTAGGAAAAAAGCTAAGAAAACAGCAAAACAACACTGCTTTTGCAAAAATGAGTTATTTAGTCAATAATTGTAAGCCTGTCAGTATGGGTAACTCTGCGAACGTCGTTTTCGTGGCGCGTTTTTCAAATCAAATCGTCTGTTTTTCAACGACATCTTGGGATAGGAAGCTAAGAGGAAAGGTACCACCTTGTTTTTGTCGCAGACAAGGTACGTACAAATGATGGTTTTCTGCCTCGGGCGTTACAATATCGTGCAATGTATAAAAGAGTATAAGAAAATAAAAATTTGAATCGAGAATTTCAGGGGCGGATCTAGGGGGAGGGTGCAGGGGGTGCGCATCCCCCCCCCGACATGACCTGCGGTTTTCTGATACAACTGGTATTCTGCCAAAAAAAAAACTATGTGGTTTATTGGTGTTGAAGTAGAGCAAGACACGAGTGCACCCCCTCCTAAAAAAAATCCTGGATCCGCCCCTGTTAAATGTGATTAAAATGTTCACTGTGCAGCAAAAACTGTTTTTACCTTTCTCTCGGCTTTTTCTTCGAACTCCCGGTAACTCGAACTCCCGATAACTCGAACCTTTTTCCATTTCCATTGAAGGTTCGAGTTATCGGGAGTCGACTGTATTTATTTGATGTAAAATTTTGATTGTCTGCATGCCGCAACCGGAAGTTGTCTCCGTTGTAAGCGGCATGCAAGGCTGTACAACAAGGACACCAAAGGAAAAGCAAAAGAACTTGATTCTTCTACATAAAATTAATTTAAAAACCCAAAGTAATGTCACATTCATGACATTGAGCCAAGTAAAAATTCAAGCCTATATTTATCAGAAATTTTTATATCAAGTAATATGACATTCAGCAGAAAAATTTCCATCCCTCTTTAAGATCGAGCCCACACTTCTTTCCACCAATAATTTTTCAAAATTTGTAAAGGAAGCAAAATCATTTTGACTAAATCGTTCAAATTCCATTTTTCCCCCTGAGGGTTTAGCCTCGTTTTTATGCTATAGTCCAGTCCCTCGCCGACGCTGAGCAGTCGGCTTGACGTCTTGAACACGTGCCTTCTTTCTCTTTCGTCCGACATGGCCGCGAGCAACTACTACGGTTACACTTCGGGAGGCCAGCACTCTCAAGCATTTACTCAAGCTCAAAATCCGTCGATACAAACCAGTTACGGAACACCTCAGGCAACTACAGGATACGGAGTTCAAGCCTCTACACCTGCTGGGGCACATTATGTTCCGCAACAAACTCAGGCACCGAGGCAAGTTGTACAAGCTCCCTATTCAGCCGGCACAACAGCTTACGCTCAACAAGGATCTTCGGCTCAAGCAGGCGCTTATGGCTACACAGCGAGACAGCAAGACGCTCCACCGCCGCCTCCACCAGCAAATGCCTCTTATCAAGCGGCTCACGCCGCTTATCAAACGCACCACGGCTCTGCTCAGTACTACGATAGAGAAGCTTATGAAACGAAGGCGTCTTATTATTCACAACAACCTGCTTCGAATGTTCAAGGTGGCCAGGGTGCTTACTATGGTCAAAACGCCACGGCAGCAGCTAAAGCGGCCTATCCAACATCAGGAACAAGTGTTTACCCAACATCTGTAAGCGCCACTCCAGTCATTTCGAAAACGCATCCGTCACAATCGTATTCTTCGCAATCCTCGACCGTCGCCTACCCCTATTCCAGCGCTCGTGCGCAGACATCAGCTTACGAGCAAACAAGCTCGTACAACACGTCAAATTATGGCGGCTCTTCGGCTGGAAACACGGGCGGTTATCAGCCGCAAGCTTACGAAGCTGCTGTTTACAACGCCGCTGCAGCCTTTGTTCAACAACAGCATCATCAACATCAACCTCCGAGACAAGGCTGGAAAAACAAGATAGGTGTAGGGCAACAGAAGCAACCAACAGGAATGATGAAGCCTAAACAGCCGCCTAAACAGCCTCAGCTTCATTACTGTGAAGTTTGCAAGATAAGCTGCGCTGGACCTCAGGTAAACTTATCTTTTCCATTCAATAAATTCTAAACCTTGAACGGAACATCTGTTCGTGAGTCTGCTAGTCCTAAAATAGCTTGTATCACCGGTCGTTTCGATACAAAGGTATTTAGGTACAAGTCATTTCGCTACATGACGATTCAGAAAAGGTGTAACTAGTTTTGTGTGCAGTAGTTGACTTTCACGAACGAGGAATATTCACGCCATATGTTTTTGTTGTCCTCACGATACTATACTTGTAGACTGCGAGTAGTGTCTTATTTTCTTTTGAGTCACGGAGATAAAGAACGCGCGCGCAGGGCGAGTGGCGAAACCGCGAGGAACTATGGCGGAAGCCTGAGCGAAGAAAAAAGAGACTGCGATAGGATCTTTGATCTGGCGATTTGCTGCTTTTCACGCCTTTGCTGTTATTGACAGCTCCTTCATTTTTGACAATAGCCCACGTTCAATATATTAAAATTCTAACATGACTCCGAGGCTTTCTGGTCATTTTTCCATATTTGGTTTGGTGTTCTTTGTGCTCAGATTTTTTCTGGGAATTGCCAGACAATGGAGGCTTAAAAATTGCAGTTTTGACTCAAAAGCCTCAGAGTCAACGTAGAATTTAATATATTGAACGTGGGCTATTGACACCATTTCGGGTGCTTTTTCCTGCAAACAAACAGCTTGTCTTTGATTGTCTGTTCATTGCTGTTTGGTTGGGGATATTAGTTCTGCAGTTATCTTTGAAGGATTGCAGGAATAGTAGCGTAAAAAATTCTGAAAATCCTGGGAAAAAAAGAGGGTTTCTCAAAGCCGGTGAGAAAGGAAGCGAAAGGGTGGAGAAGCCTCGCAATATTATAGACCAGGCAAACAATTTGCCATTGACCTTTCATTGCCTAGGGCTGAAATTTCTATGGTGCGAAGAGAGGATATATTTCGGCCAAGAATACATTTTCAGGTTCCACAAAAGCAAGGACTAATAAAACCATTAACCTCTGCGGTCATCCTTTTTCCTCTCTCCGCCCCAAACCTTTTTACCATTAGTTTGCATAATTTCACTTTTTCACTCCCTGCATGTGGCAATATGTACAACATAATTTATTGTTTACTCCCCAAGGGGCTTTTCAGGAACAATGATTTTTTTACAAGCTTTACATTTAACTAATGATATTACAACACTCAACTTAGTACAAATAACAAGGCTTAACTAATAATTACTTATTACAATACTTGTTAAACTAAGAAGCATTTACAAAATTATCTAAAAGCTGGTTCCTTAAGAGATGTTTAAAAATGTGAGCAGATTGGCTTAATTGAAGAGAAGGTTTTAAATTGTTGCTAAGCTTAATAATAGTCCTGCAATAAAAAGTTCTCTGTCTGGAGGCTGTTCTGAAAAGAGGGATGTTTAGCTTTTGGCTACTCCAAGTTGTTCGTTTGTTAACTTGCTCACGGGTAATAAATTGGGAAGTAAGATATTCAGAGGCTTGACCGGTCATGCATTTGAAGGCCATAATAGCTTGGTTATATAGTCCTTATCAGGCAACCAAGACAGGCTTTTTAAGAGGGGTGTTACATGATCATATTTTTTCACACTGCTGGCGATTGGGCAAGCAAAGTTTTGGACAGTCTACAATTTTGTTACATTCTAATTTGTTATGTTTGCCCAAACATTGGAGAAGTATTACATTTTGCTGAAAACTAAGGCATGTATTACCGTTAACAATGTGTTTTGTCTAAGAAATGTTTCACACAGTTAATTTGCGCTAGGCATGCAATAAGTTTCTGACACTTTGGTCGTTATATTGATATCAAATGTTTAAGTTCAGACCCAAAATTATGCCGAGATCTTTCACTGATTGCTCTGGGGAAATGTCCTTTCCCAACAAAAACAAATGAAATTCATGGAGCTTCAAGGTCACCTGTTAATTTTGTCTTGTCTGGATTCAGTAATAGCCGATTTCCGAAGCAGCAGTTGTGCACCTGCAGGAGTTATTCATTCATTTCTTGGACGATCCCTTGGGAGTTGTTTCAATGGAAAGAAACAAAATAATATTCTTGTATCATCTTCATAACATTCTGCAGAGTAATGTAGTGGAACTTCTGGCAGATCATTTACGTAGATGCTAAATAATATCGGGCCTAGAATACTACCTTCAGTTACACCACATTCAGCTGGCAGAGGATCAGAAACAGCACCATGAATTTGTACAACTTGATATCTATTTGTGAGGTAGCTGTTAAAAAACCATTTTCATGCGTTGGTCAAGGCACCAATGCTTTGTATTTTTACGTAACAATATTTGGTGGTCAATGCTGTCGAAGGCTTTACTCATATCTAAAAGTATGCAGGCAGTTCTTTTCTTATCATCAATTCCTTTGCGAAATGCATCAGTTGTATGAATTAAAGATGTTTCAGTAGAGAACCATTTCTTGTTGCCACTTTGTTTTGCGGTGAACCTTTCCTTGGCTGTCAAATAGGTGACACACTGATCATAGGCTACTCTCTCACAAACCTTTGATCATGCAGGTAACAGGGAAATTGGTCTTATATTGTTAGGAAGTTCATGGTTGCTTTGTTTGGGAATACATTATACGTAGGTGAATTTAAAGAAGAGAGAGAAGCATCGATGATTGACATAATAAAAGGGAGTATGATCAGCAGGCTTCCTTAAGGAAAGAAGGACAACCGCTCACAGTCTACTCTACTTACAGTGTTTGAAAATTGTTGTGCAGTTTCTTTGCTTGAGTTTGTATCGAAATGACTAGTTTTCAAAATAGCTTGTTGTATTGCATGTACTGAACATGGGTTAATCTTTTTAGCTCGCTTTACTTAACAAATAAAGAAGCCTTGACCGTGCTCTGTTTTGTTGTAAAGCACACAGGAAGCAGCTAGAGCACAAAAGGAATGTAGGGGGAAACTGAACTTGTAAATTGCACCTGTAAAAGTGTACATGGCTTCAAATGTGGTCCCCATAGCATTGATGCTTTTTTGTTTTGTCATTACTTCTTAATAATGTCACAAGTCACCCTTGGCTTTCAACTGCTAGGGAGTTTGCTTCAGGAGTCAGTGAGTTTGGAGTTTTCTTGGACATACAAAGGCAACCAAAAAGTTACATTTGTGTGCACCAAGTTGGATGCATATATATACAGTTTATAATTTTGTCCAGTTGGTTTATATCTGATAAACTCAACAATATATTGACTTTTGAAATCATTATATTTAGACTTACAGGGAACACTTGGAAGGCCAGAAACACAAGAAGAAAGAACAGGCAGCAAAGCAGAAAGAGAAAGAATCTCTTCCATCAAATGCTTATCGCTGTGAACTGTGTGATGTAACTTGCACAGGAACTGATGCATATGCTGCCCATCTCAAGGGATCAAAACATCAAAAGGTATGGATGATAATTGGTATCCAGCAAATAATGTGTTTTACAGGGCTTGACAAAGAAATAAAATCTGGAAAGAAGGTCAGGGAGTTTTTCTAAAAGCCGCTTGAGAAACATGCTTAGTAAATCAGGTAGTGGAATTCAGGAGCCCATAACTCGAAGCAAGCAACTTTCATGCTTTGTTAGGGAAATGGTGCTCTTTAAAGTATCTACAAACAAACTGGTCCGCAACGATAAAATGTTGTGACAAAGGCCTAGTACGGCAGTTACTTGCTCCGGGTTATGGGCCCCTGGTGAATTGTATTATTTGTCTTAGACAGAACGTTTTACTGCTGGCTCACAAGAACTGTTATTCTGTCATCTTGAAAGTTGAGCTGTATGTTGTCAGTATGTCTTCGAAAGCTTGGTGATCAAGAAGTATTATTCAGCTGTGCAAATGTAAAGATGGAAGCTGATATAATGACCTTCTTTATTGCAAATACCTCAGTGTAATAATTAGTGGTCTTCACCCCATTTTCAGTGAAATACAGTGAAAAAGGACTTCAATGTACCTCTATTAAAATGAACACAGTTTCCCAGTCTCCAGGTTCTTTGTTATACAGTACCAATCAAAAGTAAGTTGACACTCAATTCTCGATCCTCGCGAGAATCGAGAATCGAGTTGAGAATCGAGACTCGATTCTCAATTGTTGCGTCTTGATTCTCGAATCTTGATTCCTGCGAGAGTCATCAATCCTGAACGAAATACAATTAAAAGAGTGTTGTTTTGAGTAATTTGCTCTCTCCATGTGCTCTCGATAATCGGTTGCTGCAAGAATCTACAACCTTTGTTCAAGTTTTGAGCATCTTCTAATTTTTCTCAAGTGAAAAAAAATCTTCTACTCCATAAAACAACAAACTCTACTCAGTGTCTGATTTTCGGAGAAATTCCTAAACTATGCAAATTATACAGTGGCAATTGACATTTGCATTCTTTCGCACAGCTCGGGTGACACTTTGCGTCAAAATCTTAAAAATATTCAAATGATATTTTGCATCATTTAAATAGCAGAAATTGTCAGTAATAGTAACTGTGAATGTTGAACTTGAAAAGCAATTCATGACCTTTTATCTGTAAAATCCAAAATACATGTAAAAGATAGCTTTTGTAAATAAATGACAAATACACGACGGTGTGTAAACAAAGTCTTGCGGCGCTTCTCGTTGCTTTCGAATTTTACTTGTCGATATTTTTTCAAGCCAAGCGGCCGTATAAGCACAGAATCGTTTGACGTTACAAAATATACATGCCGTTGCTTGTACACGAGAACCGTTAGTTTGCATATGGAGCAGGCATTTGAAACTTAACTTGAGGAAATGAAGCTTGATACAGATTTCTTTGAAGAAACATTTGTTTTATAACTAAAATTAGTCTTGTTTCGAGCATACAGTCGCTTGCGCGAATCGCAAATATACATGTAACCATGCCGTGTTGTGTTACAGCTTATGTCTTTGTAAAATTATCGAGAAATCAATCATGGGTGAATCTTTTGCTTTCTGTCATGCGAGACTCAGTCCTCGACTCGATTCCCGATAGCTTGTTCTCGATTCTCGATTCTCGATTCGTGCAGGAATCAAGAATCGCGAATTGCATTGAGAATCGAGACTTGCAACGGACTGTCAACTTACTTTTGAACAGTACTGTATGCAAGTTCAACTATATTTAACCTGTAAAATTTGACATGATAGCCTTCCATGGTTGTTGTGGTGAAACTACAGGAATATTAGATTCAGGAGTTTTGCGTGCTGAATTTCTACCATAAACAGATACCCCAGCCCCGTGCTCCTGGTACATTTTTTTTTTGCATTTACATACAGTGTCTTTATTCTATCTGACAGTGAAAGAAACATTTTTTCTTTTGCTGAACTTTCTTCAGTTTGCATTATTTTTCTTTTCTCATATTGATACTGTTACTCTTTTAATTTAAATCTAAACTGTAGAGAAGTCTGGTTACCAAAGTGGCTACAAAACCAGAATTTTTAGTCACCAAGGAGAAAATGTTAGTTGCATTGGCAACCGTATTAGTCGCTATTTGGAGCTCTGCTTTTATAACGACAACCAGTGTTTCATTATGATTGATTTATTATGCATGTAGGTGATAAAACTTCATCAGAAGCTTGGAAAGCCAATCCCTGAACCTGCACCCCTGAAACCACCAGAACCTAAAGATAGCTCCAAAGAAAATGGGGACAAAAAAGCTGGTCCTGGTAACAAAGGCCCACAGCGAAAACCACCACCCAAAAAGATGGCAGCACCAAAAATCACCTTCGTAGGTGGCACAAAACTAACTTCTACTGGACTTGTCAAGACTGATGCCTCTCCTGGAGCTGCCTCTAGTGGTTCAAATTCTGGTTCAGCTGCAGGAAATGATGTGGAAATGGATGAAGGTTAATGTAGGATACATGTATGGTTTTCAAAGTTGAAAAATCTTTCTGACACACTTGTTAGGAAATTTCTATGTGCAATCGAATGGTGATGAGTGAAATTAGAGAATTATTTCACATGGGTTTTGTCCAAGTCCTATCAATTTCTGGAGCCTTTAGTACCCATTAATATTATAGGTGACAATTAATTATGCTCACAATCTGCTCACAATTATTATTTTTTGCTTGTTATCATATCAAGAACCCCACGCGCTAAAAAGTTTAGAGCATAAAAGTTTTGCTCCATTCACGAGTTTCGTAATTTTTTGACAAAATACCAGTTTGAAACCTTCTTGATGTGCTCCTTCGTCTGTTTACATTTTCTAAAGCAACTTTTAATAGCCTGATATCTTCTGGTAAACATTTTAAAACTTCCACGCCATCTTGGCACAGAGACGTATGGAATGTTGCCATGGCAATTTGGTAATTTCATATGTGGTATTATAAATAACACTGAAATTTCGCACCAAAGTTGAAGAGTAGTTTGTCAGCCATGATATTACTTATATAAGCAGTTGAAGTTATGTTAGCTCCTCAAGCTTTGACAGCAAGAGAAAATTAAAATAGTGTTGTTATTGAATGAAATATTTTTCCACTTTATATGAAACATGTACAGTGTACTCTAAACACCAAGTCCTTTTGTAAAAATACTGACATTCTTATTATTTTGTAGAGAAATTTGACTTGGCAAATTACACTGGTGTGGACAAGAGCAAGATTGTTGGTATGTATCTCTGAACCTGCCAGTGGTGACATATTAAGTAAGCACGAGGTTAAGCAAGATATTTGGTATGGAATTATAATCACTGACTTCCTTTGTGCTGCAGTGGTAAAGTTAATTTACATTAATGTTGTGCATAAGGAAAGATAAGAATTTTTGTTCCTGTTTTACCCATAGAGATGTCAAAGATAAAAGATGAATAATTATTGGTATAGAAAAATAAAATATTACAGCAGAAGCTCTTGTAAACAAACACCTTTGAGACAGGAATGGCAATCAAAAACAAATAATCAAAGCAGAAAGAGTTTTGTGTGGCTATTTTTCCTTTGTTTTGTCCTCCTTTTTTTTAAAAAAACAGACTAAATTTAGGGTGTGCATTATACATGGGTAAATACTTTATAATGGCAAAGGTACAGGAAAATGTCTTATTCTAAAATATTTGTGACTTGGCATAACTTGATACTAAATTTCACAGAGGTTGTTTACATGGGATATGTGGTTTACTGATAAAATGTTTAGAAGTGACGCATATTTAGTGCTAAGAAGATTTTCTTTCAGAACACTGGCTCTTGTTTTGGTCATTAGGCTTTTGGCACCTGCTGGTGTCAAAATGTTTGTGCTACTTTGTGATGATTTCTCACCTGCCTTGCTCTTACTTTAGGGTCTGAATATTTGGAAGAGATAAAAAATGAGGAAGGAAAGATCGTTAGCTTCCACTGCAAATTATGTGAGTGTAAGTTTAATGATCCTAATGCCAGAGAAGCACATTTAGCTGGACGTCGTCATCGTTTGTCTTACAAGGTTAGTCAATCAGCAAGAATTAACATTGTTAAGAGCATTTTGCTCCCATATGCACTGTATGTATTGTGTTTTGACAATAAGTGGTGTTTATGTGGATTGACTCTGTCTTGTTAACTGTCTTTTACTGTTCATATTATTGACTGGTCATTTTCATGGGCTCTTGTATTGGAAAAGTTTTGATGTGCGTTTTATTCTTTCATACATAGTTGTAAGTTATGTAAATGTTGCATTTCATTCAATTGAAAAAAGATGTAGTTAACTACATGGGTTAACTTTTTTGTGTTTATTTTGGTTATGACTGAACTGAAAAATTATGTTGTTCCCACGTCATACGGATGCTGATAATGTGTTTTGTAGAAAAAAGTTCAGCCTGATCTGGTTGTTGATTCCAAACCAAGTGGCCGAGGCCGCCTGAGCAAAGGACAAGAAGACAAGTTACGGCGACAGTGGGAACAGGAACAGTACTGGCAATGGAAAAAGTAAAGTATATGTGTGTTGTTCGTGGTCGCTGCTGATAAGTTCTAAAAAAAAGGGTGTCTCTTATCTTTGTAGCTGTTAATATGTGCAGCTTCTCATTTCCAACTGTTTAATTTTTCATTAGGGGAAGACAGGAGGAGGAGTTGCGTCGTTGGGAAGAAGAGGAATATTACAGGAGAATAGCAGAAGAGGAGAGATTTTGGGAAGAGGAGAATCGTCGGCGTTTTGAGGCTGAGTTCTTTGAAGGGTGGGGTCCTGCTCGGATGGGACCACCAAGGGGACCCCCTGGCCTGTTGGGGCCACGCCCACTCATGGAGGGTGTTGGTGACATGGGACCGGTAAAGTTTCTTCTTGAATATTATCAAGGTTTACACTTTTCCTCAGCAGTAAACCTGAACTTGTTACTTGCTTGCACAAGTCCCCTTGATGTAGCACCAGATACAATTAGCTCTTTGTTAGATTCATTTTGACCCCTAAAAGCCCAGGCGACACAACTGGCTCCATTTTACAGCAGCTAACAGAATGCTTCAGGACTTTGGTTTGAGCGAGTATGAGTGATCTAAATCCCACTTGAATTAATATGATAAATTTTTTAAACCTTAATGTCAGCATGCATATTATACAAACTGTCTACACTGTATACGTTTTCTTTTGTACTGAAGAGGAGAATTTTTCTAACAATCAATACCTTTTTCACTTGTTTATCATTTCTTTTTTTCTCTTTGTTTGATTGAGCTGTGTTGCTATAAGGAGTAGTTAAAAAGTTAGGAAAAGAAAGGTGAAATAAAGAGTAGCAAATAACTCCATCTTGAAAAGCCTGTAGAGAACCAGTCCAGCATGCAAATGATGCAGCAGTTTGGTCACAGTAATGAATGTGGATTTAAAACTGGTGTATGTTTACAGCCACAGGGTATGTCACGCCCCAGATACGATACACCAGATGACCGTCTTGTAATGGCCAAGCACTCAAGTATTTATCCCAATGAACAAGAACTCCAAGCTGTCCAGAAGATTGTGTCAGCTTCGGAGAAGGCATTAAAACTTGTGTCTGACCTGATAGCAGAGCAGGATCAATCCACTCAACCAAAGAAAGAAGAGAAAGAAGAAGCCAAAGAGGAGGTGAAAGTGGAGGTTAAAGAGGGTGAAGAGGGCAGTGAGGACAAAAAAGAGGGTGGAGAAGAGAAAAAAGACCCCAGTAAAACTGCTTCACCACCGCGTAAGTTCTTTTATCTAACTGACAGAAGGGGAAGCAAAATTGTTCATAAAGTACAGATAATACTTTAGGAACTAACCTTAAACCTAATCACTCTTCAGCTCCTCCCAAGAGACCCACTCCAAATAATTATATGCTTACAACAACTGTTGTTTTTTTTTTGTAGGTGCTCTGAAAGGTGTAATGAGAGTTGGAGTTCTTGCTAAGGGGTTACTACTTCATGAACGTTTGGATGTCGATCTAGTTGTATTGTGTCATGGTGAGATGACTGATTAAGTTTTTTTGGTTGAAATTCAGGTTTACTGATATTATTGTTGAGGTCAGAAAGGCCTGACTCCGAGATGGTACTTCACATGAACAGAAATGATTTAAAATTCAGGCTGACCCAAATCAATTTACTATAGGCTGGGTGAATTAATTTAGTCACCAATCCTTATTCCAGCCTAACTAAATTCAAAAGGGGAAAAAGGTGCATTTCAGTCAAATATACTATTAAAATTTATCCATTTGGTTTGGCTCATGTGAAGTTCAGTGTCTGAATCAACACTGGTCCTTAACCGATAGAACTATACTTATTTGCCCTAACTATTTATTTCAATTATTTTAGATAAACCTACCAGGCAACTTGTGAAGAGAGTAGCAGACCTCTTGCCAGAACACATTGCAGTAAGTTGTCACAATGTTTGGCTTCTTGTTTGGGTGACTGTAATGGGATGCTCAAGAAAGATCATATCTAATAGCTGAGGTTTAAACTAAAGGTTGCATAAAATTATTTCTACCGCAGAAAGTGTCAGAAGAGAAGTATGAAGTTAAAGTAGTCTACGAGGAAGCTGCCCTTAAAGTTGTCACCACCAGTGACCCTAAAGTTGTTGTTACCATCACACTGACCTCACCTGTCATGCGGGAGGGTGATGATGCTGACCACGGTACATGTTTTACATCTATTTTAATTTCACAGGGTCCTAATAAGTCCCTTCCCTGATGTAACATTGCCGACATGTGTTTTTTTAATGCATTGGATTGGTAAATTTCTCCTCTGATGGTTAACGGTCTGTACTGATTTTTGAATGGATATGGCAAAATTAAATGACACAAATGTGCTTGTTACAAGTTATCTTATTAAGGGCCCTGTGATTTTTACTTTACATTTAGTTTGAAATGTAAACAGTAACATTTTACCACTGAGTTTGCTTTTGAGGAACATACAATCAAATTGCCTTCAGCTGAATGGAAGGGCAGTGGATTTTATTACTGTATGTACAAAAATCAGGGGCATTTTGATGACTACAATTTTGGTTTTAACCTGGGTTATTGGTGTAAGAAAAATAATAATGTTCCTTGACCTGCCCCTACAAAATTATTATTGGTTTGTGGATGGACTTCAACAGATGGTAGTGATGCTTATTTTATCAACACAGAGGATGACAATCACTGATTTATTGTTCCTCCAAAGTCCAAAAACGTCTCATATTATTCATTAATGTAAATGATAATCAATCTATGCTATTGAAAAGCAATGCCTGTGCACAAAGCTTCTCAGCCTTGTGCTTGACTTGATTTATCATTCTGATGTTGTTGCAAATCTGCAGAATTATCTGTGTAATTTCTGTACACTCAGATGACTGTCTTCCATCCATGCTACAGCGTGGGGGAAGGAGGTGCAAAGATTCCTAGCTTTGTCTGTATTTGTGTCTCTCTGCATGAGTGTTTGTTGTTCTGTTTTGTTTGTGTTGAACTTGGTTAATTATTGGGGGTTCAACTTATTTGCTTTTTGTGGTTCAGGTTATGCTTATTATTTTTGGGTTACAAGTAAAAGAAATGCTCAATTTTTCTTGTTAAATTAAAATTTAGATGAACACTACATGTAGTTTCACATTTTAATAGCTAAGACAACTCTAGAGAACACCCTCGTGGCTTTAAATCTGAGAAATTTAGATTCTGTGAAGTGGGGGATCTGGAAGAACTTAATATAATTTCTTTGCTGATAGTTCTATGAGGACGTGCCAAGTTTTTTTGTCTAATTTATTAAACATCCTCGAAATCTACATCATGAGGTACAAACACCTCTGTTTAAACAGAGCTGCTTATTTTCTTGACTTAAAGGGCATCATTCATTTTTTATCTAAGTGATTCAATTTTGAATGTCCTTACTTTGGAATAAAATTAACTTACTAATAAATCAAAGTTGAAATTCTCCTTAGAGAAAAGAATAGTATTGACATTTAAATGTTTGTTGTGTGTTTGTGGTGTAAATGTCATGTTTGATCATGCTGGGATATCTTTTCACCTTCTACTTAACCACCCGATTCTCACCCGTAGCTGAAGACGATCCTCAAGTGCTGGACAGGCCAAAATGCTTAGCTGCATTGGCATCGCTACGACATGCTAAATGGTTCCAGGTTCGCTCCTTTGCTCTAATATATTTTAAGAGGAATTGTCACATTCTCTCTTATTATGATAACTATCTTTGGAAGTACATCTGATGCCATCCACTCCGTACAAGAGAGTTAAAAGTGGCACAGCAAGAGCTGTCCAATTAGACATCCCTTGCAGTTTACACCTCCCGAAATACAAGCAATTATGCTCTTTGTGGGTGTGTGTGCTTAGTGAGGGTGCACATTGCTCGATATTCTGAATTATTATCAAGAAAATCATCTCGCTTTCTGCACCAAAAGCAAATAACTTCTTTTCTCATTGAATTGTTATTGAATTCAATAGTACTAGGCTCAGATTTGCTTCCATAGTAAAGTTCTTTACATGAGGTGCTTGTTGTGTTTCCTTGTGCTCTGTTAAATAGTATCATTTGAAGTCCAAGCAAGGTATGTATGTATGTTTGTGCAGTCAACTGACATGTGACACTTCCTCTTTGGAAAACTGTGGTCTCAGAATGCAAATTTTGTTTCCAGGTTTTCACTGTTTTCCCTGTTAACAAAATTCTTTTGTTTTCTTTATTATTTCTTTATGTTTTTTTTTTTTTGTAAATTGGCATTTCATTATTCGTGAAGTGCTAGTTTGCATTTCAATCTCTTTGATATACATGTGTGTGTTGTTTGTAGTGAAACACATAAACATATTCAGTGGTTTATATAAGTACATGTCCATGTCTGTGTATCAACTGTATGTTTTAGCACCGCAAAATTAATATTCTCCACAGAGAGAGATTTCAGTTAACTTCGATTACAGCTGTACCCTGGTTTGTTTACTGTCAAACTCTTAAAACCATGAACACCTGAATATCGTTAAGAATGATGGTTGTTTGGTGACCAATAACAGTTGAGAGGAAGCAAGGAAGCATCAAAACCACAAGCTAATTGCTATAGGCCTTTCTCAAAAGTAACATCATACTCTTTTTTGTCCCTCCAAAATTTTGCTGCAGTATTGATTTCTATTTTTCTTGGGGTGATTGTAAGTTCCAAGAGAAATTGATAACAATGCCTGTGCAAAATTTTGGAGGGACAGCAAAGAGTATTATAGTATTTTTGAAAAAGGCCTGTTGTCAATTGCCTTTTAGTTTTCTCTCCCCTGAGTGGCTTTTGCCTTTCAAAACAATAAAATTCCAGATGTTCATGGTTTTAATGGAGTTTCACAGTAATACATGCTATAGCTTTCCCCTTTTGTACAGTATTTATTGCAACATTTCTGTTGATCTGTGTAAAATTCAAATTAGTTCAAAATACATGAACCTTTCCATTGTATCCCCGGTCTTAAGTTTAACTATTGTCTTGATGTTTCTCTTAGTCAATTAAGCTTTTTTCAGTGATAAGTATGGTACAGTAAAGGCAACTCAAAGTGGCACCTTTTAAGCTGGTTGTTGGTTATAAAAAGAAAACTTATTCACTAAGGTGGCTAGCTCACTAGTTAGAATTAGTTAATAGCTTCATTACTTTGTCTTTGCGTTAGGACTCTTTTTATTCCTGCTGACTTTGTTTGTTTTTCCATAGGCAAAGGCCAACGGCCTTCAGTCATGTGTTGTCATTATACGCGTCATGCGTGACCTGTGCCAGAGAATTCCGGCATTTTCTCCACTTAATAATTGGGTAATAAATGATAAACCCATATTGCTGTACTTTTTGTGAAGAATTGTCCCTTTTTGTATTGTATCACTAAATGACGAATTATTACAGGAATAGTCTTGGCCTGAAGCAAAATATTTTTAAATATGGGCATGGATGCACCTGAAATATGAAAATTAACAAAAAGTAGACAGTTGCAAACAGATCTTCTCGCCATAGGTTCTGAATTTTATTTCCCTTAGATAGAGGCATTTTCAGTGCTTTTATTTGTCTTGTCATAGTGAAGTCAAAACCGGACTGTTGAAAGTAATTTCAGGTTGGATGCTCATTGAAACCATCTATATTGGCTATATTTCAAGATTATGATAAAGGAAAATACTGTCCGAGATGGAAAGTGACGACCAGTTGTGGACCAAAAATGTTGCTCCCATCGGGTGTTTGTTTCAAAATAAAGTGATGTTTCTGCCAAAGATTGTGCTCATTTTATGCTAATCTTTGACAAACTACCATTGAGCGACCAACCTCTATGAAGCTGCCACTTGCCGGTAACCCAACGGTGGCGGCTTAATGGAGGTTTAACTGTTCTGAAACAAGCTCTTAATGAATATATTGTTTTGTAGGCAATGGAACTTTTGGTGGAAAAGGCTCTGAGCAGTAGTCAGCAGCCCTTGGGACCTGGTGAAGCTTTCCGCCGTGTACTAGAATGCATCTCTAGTGGCCTTCTTCTTGAAGGTAGACTACTCATTTTCAGTACATTTTGTGTGTCATTTCACTGATACTTAAGCCTTAGAATGCGAGTGACATATTTAAGACCAGTACATAGCATTGTAATTTGAACATAAACTCTCCTTCTGTGCAATGTAAATTGTAAGGGTTTAGGTTTATATATTCAAGGTAAACCAGGAGACAATATTTTTTTCATCAAAGTTGTCTTACTTTAAGAACTGTGGTACATTCTTAATGTATCTGTTGTGAATTAGGACTCTCAAGAGCAATTTAAACAAGTTTTCTTTTCATCGTTGTCCCTTTGGCATATTGCTTTGTTGGGGTACCTGCGTCAAATTACTACTCTTTGTTTTGGAACCCAACTAATGGGTAATCACTCTGCTTTTAACTTATGCACAGGTGGCCCAGGATTGTGTGATCCTTGTGAAAAAGAGACTGTTGATGCCTTAGGCGAGGTAACAATGCAAGAAAGAGAAGATCTAACTGCCTCGGCACAGGTAGACACCAGGGTTATTATTTCATTGAGAAGGCATAGTCCTACTCTATAACAGACTTTTTTCCTGCTTTTAATGCCACTTCAGCAGCCTCTGTTTAACGTTCAATATTATTGTAGTAATTCTTTAACTCCCTAAGGCAAAATTGAAGAAAAAAACAACTTTTTTATGTTAAATAGTGGAGAACAGTCAGTACTAAGTGAAACTTCTGCCGAAGAACTTTCGTTTGAATGATCAAGCTACAGGATTTTGTCCAGACTCACAAGTTTTGACTTAATGTCCATACTATAAAAGTAGTACTGTGCAATACTACTGCTGAAGAGGTTTCATTTGAATGGTCACACCACAGCATTTCGTTCACAGACTTGTAAGTGTACCAAGAATCACGCAGTGGGTAGTCCCAAAGCCCTCGCTAGCTTGCCGTAGCATACACTCATGGGCAAAGAGTATATGGTTATTGAAGCAACCACAGCCCACACTTAACTTTTATTTATTTTATATTGGATGCTCTCTTGTGAGGCCTAAGTGATGAGCAAACTCTACCTGACACATTGTGGAGGGAAAAACTGATTTAATGAGCCTGATAGGCCTCTTACAACATCCCACATTGTTTCCAACGACGCGACGACATAAAAAGTTTTGGTCATTTCTTTGATTATTCCTACCCAATTTGTCAATTGCGAACCCTCTTTTCTCCAAATTCAAGCTCAGCAAGAGAAATAAAATTTCGTCGTTGCTTGTTTACGTCCTCCATAAAACGCGAAATTAGACATTTTCATTCCGTCAAAAACGGGAAAGAAATGCACAAAAAGTTGATGCACGTGCGAAGTTGTTGTTTTCCTAATTAAACCAATTGTTTTTTCGACGTTCCGACGTCGGGTCGTTGGCTTAAAGCTTTTTCGCCAAAAGAAGGCTTTGACACTGAAGACAGTGGTCTCTCCTACCAGGGGAAGAAGGATTCCAACTGAAAAGGAGAATTGAAACGAAGTTCCGGGGGCGTGGCCGCTTTAAAAGGGCGAGAAGCAGGAGAAGCCATGGAAGTAGCCTCGGGGGGTAGTGGTGAGGCAAAACCCGAAGCCTAAGCAAACGTTACTAATATCACAGAGGCTAAAGGATATAACTCTTAGATTACGTAGATGTTCTCATGGTCAGGCGTTTTTTTTTTAACTTATGAATGAATGCTCTTGAGTTAATTCAGACATTTTATTATAGTTACAGTCGTTCATGATACATGCAGGTTAAGGACGCGTCAAACTTAAAAAGAGCAATAGTGCATTTTACTATCTTTGTTTGCCATTTTGTTAGATTTTATGACAAGCGTATTTATAGTTTCATTTGGCGTACAGAAATAAATCCGTTGTAGGAAATAAAGAAGCATGAAGAGGTCGCTCAAAGCAATCCTTTTGTAACTGTTTATACTTCACAGAAATCTTTCCCTCCAGTTTAGACGATTAATTAGGGACTTGTCAGAAATTAGCAGGGGGGAGGGGGGTGGAAACAGAGGGAGGGTCACAACTTTTTGAGACTGCAGAAAAGGGAGGGGTCATGAAAAATGGGCCGTTAAAGGGGGAGGGTCATGCAAATATGTGTCCGTGATCGCGTAAAGGTTCACCCACAAAACAAAAAAGTTCTTTATTTTGTAAAAAAAAAACCTGGGAGAAATAGGAGAGTCGAGTGATCAGCTGTCAGAATCAGAGTCGGACTCTTAATGCTGTCATCTAAAATGTATGTATGTGGCATTACAAAGAACAGATTAGAAATGTATTTTGAGCTTTCATAATCCTGACTCACCCCAGTAGTGTATTGCAAGAACTAGATTTTATCATTTATACGAGACGGGGAGGATCATGGTAGGTCAAGGAGAGGGTTAGCAAATTTCACTCCCATTGTAGGGATGGGTCACCTCGTTTCGAACCCAAATGTAAAATTCCCCCCCTGCTAATTTTTGACAAGTCCCTTAGGTAGCTCGAATTATCAGTGTTATTAATTACTGAGGGTGATCTGGGGTCAATTTAATAAACTTTTGCAAGTGTAATTTACAATTGTAGCTGTTGTTTTCAGTCTTTGAAACAATGGCTTCACTTGTAAAAGTTTTATTTAATTGACTCGTCTTAGTAAGAACAGGGTCAGATAATTTATAAGAAACAAGAGAGTAATACGCGATTATTTCTATTTTTAATTCCAGTTACACGTTGTACTCTTATCTATTACATTTGGACTTGGTAGCATAGCTGTGTTTGCGCAGTCTTATGATAAATTATATAGCCCCATGTCACCTACAATAGCTTGTCAATGGCACTCAGAAAAATCGGTAGCTGAAAGATCTTGACAGATTATCCCTTTAAGCCCCAATATCCACATACAAATTCTTCAAACTGATCTCCATACTTTTCCGCATAAGGATAAGTTGAGAGAATTTGATGCAAGATCAAAGCATTTTCTCTTAGATGATAATTTTATTGATTCTAAGAACCTCATCTCTTGACCTTGTATGGATGTTATCAGGAGAAAATTGATGTTGGTCACTATTGGGACTGAGAGGGTTATAGAAAAACGTTAATCTGTAAGTAACAAACAGATAAGCGTGCGAACGCAGGCGTTTCCCGGTCGGGCGGAGAGAAGCGACAACAGGAAATACGTTTGCCTTCGCAAGATAAAGGTAGCTAGAATGTGAGATCGTATGGCTTTTTCTGAGGCCTTGGGTAAAGAAGCTATAAAGCAAGCAAACACTGTAATATTCCAAATCAAGCATTCAATCGAGGTTTCTAGACATGGTGTCTATGGACAATGACTCCTTGGTATTATCTCTTGCCGGTGGTGAGGTCGGGGATTCTGCCTTCTCAGACTGAGGCGGAGCAATGCACTGGGATGGGGAAAGCACTTCCATAGAGCTGATGGATTTGGGAGCGTCTGCGAAATCAAACCAGTTCTTGACAGTTCCAGTTCCCTTCGTGAAGGAATTCGCCATTTGTTTGATTTCTTCTGGAGGAAGAACCCTATCCCACAGATTAAAGCCAGTGAACTTGAATTCATGACCGGTTCTTTTACCTAACTTAAGAGTCCCTCCGCCGTCATATCCAAGAGCAACACCTGTTTCGGTCTTCGTCTTGATACCGTCTTGGTATTGCGAGAAAACGCCCCTTTCTCCAGAAAACGAGATGCAATAATGGTGCCATCGTAGATCATCCAGATAGTTTTTAGAGGTGATTCTGCAAACAATGGGGAGCACGCAGTGGTTACAGATCACTGGTAACTTCACTGTTCATGAACTAAAGGGGACTTCTTTGTGTCCATTGTATCCTAGACTGCGTGTGGTCGCGCAGCTTAGTATTCCTAGACTAGTTTCACTAACCGAGAGGATACTGGACTTTTTTTTTAAAGGTACCACGCAAACCAGTTTCGTACCTGTCTTATACCAGATGACTCTGTCCATTCCATGTACCCTGTGAAACCAGTAAAGTCATTTTGTCACTTTTCTTGACCCAAAATAACTGAAGATCTTGAGGCCTACTCCCTCTGACAAAATAGTAGGCCATACGCCAAGCTAGACCATGGGAAGCAGTTTTGAACTGGATCCACAGGCACATAGTCAGAGATGGTAGAGGAGAGGTATTTGACGTGCCGTCACGGTGTCGTCGCTGCTGTTCACGATTCCTGGTTTCAGGTCGAAGGTTTCTTAAAGAAATTATTAAAAGCGTAGTCAATAATAGCTTTAAATCCTTAGAAGGGTGGATTCATTGGCGAATTCAAATTAGATTTGACAAAAACAAACCGCAAGAACGTTTAGACTGCGGGCAGTCTCTTATTTTTCTTTGCCAAGTTACTGCATGCCTAACCCAAGCACGCTAGTGGCTAAGTAGGGAGCCGGGATAAACGAGGGCGTAAACCCGTGAAGAAAAAATAAGACGTCTTTTTTCGTCTCGTCCCAATCCCTTATTGTAATATAACGTCGTGGTTTGCAATAAGGCTCGCTGAGATAAGAACTAGAAGGATTTTAAGAGAAAAGGCCGACTGCAAGCATGCAGTCTAAAGAAGGTAGTGCAGACAGGGTTCTAGCCTGTCGGACTTTGTATGTAACATTTCCTGAGATGCCGTAGATCTCGGATGCTGGAGAAATGAGGTGTTGTTCTGTTTTATTATTCGCAATTGGAGACTGAAGTAAAGTAGGGCTGTAGCAACGAGTAAACAGACAGTCTCTTGTGTGAAGAGAGAATTTATTGGTGTTAAGTTGATAAAAATATGAAAAGCCACGGTATAACCTGTTGATTTATTGAGCGTAAACTTATTTGTCAAGTCATAGTAATATTGTAAGTTAGTCTTCAAACTGTAATCAACCTGTAAGAAGCCGTTATTGACCTGTGAAGCTTTGGAACTAATTAATGTTTCAAAACAAACGTAGTTTTCCACCAATTCTCTTTTAGAAATGATTGTTGTGCTCTGTATCGATCTGTAATTTCACTCGTTGAGTTGTGATGTAGTCCGTATCGCTTCGCTAGCTTGGGCTTAACTGTGAGTGTTTTATAGGAGTTTCTTCGGTTACATCTAGGTTACATCTAGTCCTGGTTACATTGTGGTTATGTTCTGACTGTACCCGCAGTATAGTCTTGGATTAAACTTCTACATTAGAGCCAAGTTCTGTTTGGGATCATTGTCTCAAGGGTATTCAACAGGCGTAAGAGATTCCGCAGCCAGCAAGTGTCCCCAGGAAAAGGTCTTTCCCAGACAGTTTCATAATTTTTCCCCGTCCGTTAATTTACACTTTTGTTAAGGCAAAACCTGTCATTCACACTTGGAATAGAGGAATTTCGGGTTTTAATCTTTCGTGGAAATATGAAACCTAGCTGCCACAATTTATTTTATCAGTGTTTAAGACACACGGGGCGCTATATATATGGGGAGTAACAAAAATCAAATCAGGTCAGCTGGACTGGTTATCCAGTTGAAAATGAAACAGGCTGTTTTTCGAGAGTTTCGCTAAAATCCTATCTCTGCTATCCGTATTATTTAACAATTATTCCTCGAGCCCGAATGGGCTCTGAGTCAATCGGCCTCATGGGCTATTGACTCAGAGGCCATGAAGGCGAGAGGAATAATCGTTTTAGTAAAATCCAACTTGTTAGTCGAAAATATCCAAACAAAACAACTTAAGCTAGTTAAAGCTAGACTTTTATCCTTTTTTGCCGTCAAAAAGCCGGCGCTTTTCGCTACTAGTGGGCGGTAACATATAGCCTAGTAGTAGCTCAACCAATCAGAACGCAGCATTGATAATAGACCACTAGTTGGGTTTTACTAATTATGAGTAGACTCAGGACAGACTCAGACAGTACTATTAATAAATTTTCCTAAATTTCAGTTTTCATAAAGGCCCTTCACAGGGTTCCTTTTGATTTATTCCTTAACTGTATCCATGTTCCAATCTCCAGCGTTGAACTAAAGGTACGTACCTGTCAATCGCTTTGCTGTTACTGGAGTTCCATTCACAGGCGCACCGGGCTTACCAGTTTTAATATACGTGTGGTTCATGTTCCCGTTAAGGTGGTATTTTTCTATCGCTTTGCCATGTTCAAGTTATTGCTTTTAGATGCAGCGCGTGCTCCGCGTGCTCTCGCTTACTTGGAGATTAGATCGAGAAATGAGGAGGCGATTTACTTGCTAAAGGTCTTTTACTTCTTACTTTATCGACGTCAAGCATTCTTCAGGATATTTACTTTTTATTTGTTTCTGAACTGATTTAGTACGCGTGTTTGCGACGACCGGAAATACTATACGCCCGTGATCGCAGGCTATACGCGTGTATAAAATACACAAAAATTCAAGGGCCTCGATTCCAGAGAAGTTACATCATTGTCAGAGATAAAAAAAGTGATTTACATGGCAAGTCATTTCAATCATCACCGAAAATAAACCGGATGCTCATCACTGGACCGAAAGTTTACAACACCCGACCATCGCGGTTTTGTTAATTGAGATTCTTATTTTAATTCGACCACTCAGTAGTGTTCACTTGTTCCAAAGGAATCAACGCTTTCAAGCGATAGAATTGGTGGACCGACACGCTTCAGAAAAGCTCTAACTTTAACAAGCAAAGAAGTTACAATATAGCAAAAAACCAGGGAATTAAAAGCAGATAAAATTAAAAAAATAAAAACACCGTAACTAAAAACGTCTATCAGAAAATGGGTCTCATTTACCTGGTCAGGAATGTAGTAGCTCAAACTCAGTGGCACCTCCAAGCACAGTTAATAATCGATCCATGCAATCAAAAACGAGAAAATTAATAGTCCCTTTTCTTACTTAGAAAACTATTGAATACAATGAAAATTAATAAATACATTCACACTGGAAAAACCTCAACCTGAAGTACGAAGGCATGAGGAACTTTCCTTGGGGTTCTTTTTAACGTTTTATTGTTTTCTCCTTGAAAAGTGATTAATGGTAGAGTCTGAATATTTCATTTTATTAGCTTCGCCTGTTAACGAACAATGAATGATAAATAAATGCTTAATAGGCAGGGGTGCCACAACAGCGGTGAGCCAATGTGACAATTAAAAACAACAACGGAGATGGACAGACACGTTAAGTGAAACGTTACATAACTCTAACTGTTCCAGTTACAACTTTGAAAAGGAAAATCATGTCTAAAAACTTGTGCCAATAGGAGTTTGGTAATAAGTTAAGGTTCATTAGCCTGTTCCCATATGTTTGGTCACAAAAGAATGGTAGATCCAGGATATACTTTGTAGCACGCCTCTGGACACGCTCGAACTTTCGAATCAGGTCTATTGACTGCGGAGTCCAGACTTGCGTGGCATAGCCAAGATGGGATCTTACTTGGGAAGGGTATGCGGAGCGTCTAACCGTAATGCTTTTGACGAGTCTAATGTTTCTCTGAACATATCCCAGGAGCCTGCTGGCCTTAGCGCATTGTTCATTGACTTGCTTATTCCACGTGAGGTTATCCGTGCAGTGTAAACACCAAGATCCTTCTCAGCACAGACAATTTCAAGCTGAGAGCCGGCCAAATGATAGACAAAGATGACGGGTTTAAGGTTCCTAGTGATGCCCTGCACTTTGCATTTGCTCTAGTTAAAGTTTAGGCTAGCAAAATCTGACCACGTGACCAGGTTAGATAGGTCCTCCTGAAGTTGTTCTGCATCGTGCGTTGATGTCATTTCTTTGAAAATCTTTGTGTCATCGGCAAAAGAGGCAATCTGGCTTGATCTAACAGCATCTGGCAAAGATGGTGTTCAGTCGCGTTAGAAAGTGATCATTAAGAATGTCGACTAGTAGTATTCGTATCTTTCGTCCCAATCTCATTCTCATGGTCCTTCTTACGTCATTCAGTTACGTCACCCTTGACATAACATGTCGAAAGACAACCCTGGGAACGAGGTAATACGTCACCCGCTCAAGACGTAGTTGAAGAGAGAAATGCTCTGGGGACCACGGAGTCTGTAGCAGGCGCTCATAGGGCGCGCTTTAGGGCTCACGTGTACAAATTGGGAATGAGTTGCCTATTTGCTTGTGCATGCGACCTGCACTTTGCGGTAACCCTTGTGTTTCCCATTCGCAAATTGATCCTTGATCCAACCTTGAAAAGATCCCCCTCCAGTTAAGAATAACCGCCTTCCTGAGGTAAGAATAGTCATTTCAACAATGGCAACCGCTCCTGTGTCTAAGAGGTTATAAACATGCGGCTGAAAAAATATTGGATTGTGCAACAGTTCATCAAGATGATTTAAAAGCAAGGTGGTATTATTGCGAGCCAATGAGATACCAAAACTTTGAGATCCTGACGGTGAAAAGTCCGTAGCTACGAAAATTTTATGATTATCATATTCACTCGATCGATTGGTCATGGCTGACAGTTGTTTTAAGCAATTGACCAAAGTGGTAATAGTTCCATTAGGGCTCTTGAGAATTTTTTCCGAGCGAATGTGAAAGGAAACATAGTTTGAGCCTAACATCTTTGAAATAAAGTGTTGAGCGATTTCCAAAAGGTTTTCATTAAAAAATAGACTTATACTTTTATGATCGAGAGGACGATGGATGTTTGAAGGAAGTGGGAATAAAGCTCGATATGAAGTCAGTGTTCCATTTCCTGTCCAGTCTTCGATCCCAACACATTCATTTCCTTTGATCACGTCCTTTAGAAAATCTTCAACTGAAGAAAGCATCCCGGAATCCACGCAAATTGTTTTCAGTACTCTGAAACCTTTAACGAAACCTTGATGTCTTTGATTACCGCTACATTTTGTCTTTTTCCCTCGATGAAAAGCTATATTACCATAGTTTATATATAGCAGTAAGTCCAGCTTGTTCCGACAAACATTCTGAAATGTTTGCCAGCTCACCAAAGTGCTGTATCCGTGTGAACGAAGTTTGTTGTTAAGTGCGCTCAGATTGTAGTACAATTCCAGCGTTTGAGTGTCACTACTCATTTTAGAACTACCGAAAAACCTTGAATTTTTAACAAAAGGTACAACAACTTGATGCCCACTGTAGCTCCCTAAAGCCGCGAGGGCTAGTAAGTTTC